ACTTCCTCTGAGCCCATTCTTTTCTGGCCTCAGCAAGTGCATCTTCACAGAAGCCTAGACTCACTATACTACTGCACTAAACATCACTAACATGTCAATATATAAACCCCATTCAGTGCAGTGCTCAACTGCTGCTGGAGGAGAAGCGAGGAAACTGTGAAATCATTGGACCAGCAAGACGATTCTTGGGCCAGTTCCCTTACAAGTCTTTGTGAGGCTTCATTATTGACGTTGGCAGATGTAAATCTTTTTGTCATACAGAGCATGGTATATTGAAGAGATTTTCCTGTTTGAGCTCAGTAAAATATTAGTTGCTTGGATTGGATTTTGTTAAATTATTGCTATTGTTTCCCCAAGATAAGGCTGGCACCAGTTGTGTTTCCTCAATGTTAAAATGTATTCAGCCAGCACAGTCAAAAATAAGTATGAAAAATACATTGTTTTTGGCTAGCCTAAAAGAGATTACATAACATGAACCTGTACTCTGAAGCTCTGACCAAAAAAGGAAGTGGGGAGCAAAGATAGGTCACTGGTATTTCCATTTTGGTAGGACAGCAAAGATTCTGCTTCCTCATGTCAGATATTATCCCATTATGACTGGTAGGAGGATTGATGAAAAAGCAGCAGGAGAGGAGAAGGAAGCATAGATCCACAGAATGAATGAAGCAGAAGCAGGGAGATCCTTGCATTGCAGGTCCTCAAGTATATCTTTCTCTCCAGTTAGTTCTTAGGAAAACAGTGAACATAGTTACATAGTTAGTCTGGCTGAAAAAAACAAAAGTCCATCCAGTTCAACCATTAACAAAAAAAAGTTATGATCCTATACACATAGTCGATCCAAAGAAAGGCAAAAAAAACTCCAGCAAAGCATGATTCAATTTGCTCCTGCAGGGGGAAAAAATACTTCCTGATCCCCTGAGTGGCAATCAGATATTCCCTGGATCAACTTTACCTATAAATGTTAGTATCCAGTTATATTCTGTGTATCTAGAAAAGAATCCAGGCAAGCAATCCACTGAGCTGGCCAGCACCAACTCTTGAGGGAGTCTATTCCACATTTTCACAGCTCTCACTGTGAAGAAACCTTTCCATGTTTGGAGATTAAATTTATTTTCCTCCAGAAGTAAAGAGTGCCCCCTTGTACTCTGTGATGATCTCAGGGTGAATAGCTCTACACTGAGTTCACTATATGAACCACTGATGTATGTATACATGTTGATCATATCCCCCCCTTAATCTTCTCTTCTCAAGAGAGAATAAATTCAGTTCCTCTAATCTTTCCTCATAGCTGAACTCCTCTATGCCTCTTATCAGTTTGGTTGCCCTTCTCTGTACTTTCTCCAGTTCCCCAATGTTCTTTTTGTGAATTGGTGCCCAAAACTGAACTGCATATTCCAGATGAGGTATTACTAATGATTTGTTTTAGAAACCGCAGCTTGGCACTGCATGCCATTATTGAGCTTGTGATCTACCAGAACTCCCAGATCCTTCCCCACCATTGATTCCCCCAGTTATAGCCCCCCCTAGTATGTATGATGCATGCATATTCTTAGCCCCAAGTGCATAACCTTACATTTATCTTTTTTTTTTTTTTTTTTTTAATTCCATAATGTTTATTAGCATCAAAAAGACAATACAAATCAAAAAGTGCAACACAGAGAGGGTATCAAAAGGATCACAGTGAACAAGGCAGGTAGGAAGGCACAGTATTTTAAGCGATACAGTTTGTCCGATATACACAATCAATACATAATGTGATAAGAGAATGCAGACTGCAGGGAATTACATCTAAAATAGAGGAAAGGCTATTCCTATTCACGGTTTGGGTATAGGTCTCTGCGTGAGGGCATGGATGTATGTCTGATCGAGAAGCAATATATCCTGAATTAGTTGGAAGTTCAATGGGAGATAAAGCATGACACGAAATCAGGTAAATCTACATAAGAAGGGATTGCAGATCGGGGATCTGTAGTAGCCTCTTGTTAAGTCAAGGGGTACGTATCGTGTTTTCAAAAGTGATATGTGTGCCTATCAGTATCATCTGAAGAAGGTCAGGAGAATGTGAATGGGAGAGTGTTAGTGTATCTTGTGGGGAATTAATAAAAAATTAGAAAATTAGCACAAAGAGGAGGAAGGGGGGAGGATAACAGGTAGGAGGTAGCTAGGGAAGGAGTAGGGGTGGGAAGAAGGGGAAAGGATGAGGGAGGGGGGAGAGGGAGAAGGAGCGAGAGGGAAGGGAGAGGAGTGGGGAAAAAAAAGAGGGTAGGCATAGCATAGGGAACATCCCAAAGGGGTCGAGACTGAGGTCAGTTTGTCAGGGGCCAGGCAATAAGGCAATTCGAATTCCCTTTATTTAAGATGAAAGAGAAGGGCGCTCAGTTCCAAGGGGGAAGGCAGAGGAAACAATTCAGTCGAGCAAGCGGAAAGGGGCTCCAAGATTGGGGGCTGTCAGGGGGGGGAGACCCATAATGGAGCGGTATTTGGAAGTCATTCGGAAGTGGATCCAGCAAGACAGAAGATAATTTAGTTGGGTTATCGCGTGATGACTCGATGAATTCCTCCATCTCTGCCACTCTTCCCAGATGTATCTACATTTATCAACATTAAACCTCATTTGCCACATTGTTGCCTAATTAAACATGTGGCAAATTAGGAACATCATAGTACTGACATCATCGAACCTCACTCTAAATCTTTAGCAATCACAGGCTACAAAGTCTTAGATGATCTCACGCTGTACATATAGAGCTATCAGGCCACAGGAGCAGTAGTGTATAGGCACAGTTACATATCAGGAAGTGCAATGCTATATTTCAGGTGAAATTCAAAGGGCATAGCTCACAGCTGTTTCTTGATTTGGAGTGACTGTGGGGTAGATTTACTAAAATTGGAGCACTCAGAATCTTATGCAGCTGTGTATGGTAGCCAATCAGCTTCTAACTTCAGCATGTTCAGTTAAGCTTTGGTAATAAAACCTGGAAGCTGATTGGTTTCTGTTCAGAGCTGCACCAGAGCTGCACTCTCCAGCTCTCGTAAAAAAAAAAAAAAAACCCTGTCTCTTTTAGAACTAAATCTCTGTCTCTTGTTCACTCTCAGTTGTCCTCCTCTTTGGTCTGCTTTTTAGACCTCTATATTAAAAGATCTATTGATTGTCCTAAAGTGTAAATATACACTAAACTGTCCATCCAAAATTATTGTATTTCTTATTTTGAGAATTCAGTATAAAGGAATGGTAGTGGTCAAAGCCACAGTTGTGAGTACAGGCAATCATTTCATGCATATTCATTCTTAATGGTATGCATAACTGGGGGCATGTCCTTTGCCTAAAAACTTTGTACTTAAGGAAAAACCCCTTTCAATTTTCAGAAATTGGGAGGTATGCAAACTGTAAATCTTTAATGTACTGTTTAAACCCAATTAATATTTCTACATGTCGTCTACAGGTTTTCACTTTTTGAGTTCAGGTCTACTTTACATGAGGTTGAACCTCAATGTCTGGTGAATTAACTCTATTTCACAAAGGCAAAATTCTTTTTAAGGTCTCAGTTTGAATAAGTTCAGCATTTCATATTTTTCTTTCTATTTTTTTATCTCTGTTTATCTTACCAAACTCCGCTTGTACTTGGTTTATATAGTTCAGACAGAACTAAATCGTGACCATTCCATTTTTTATTATCCATTCATAGCAATTTGGCGGTTGGTTTGGTGTGCCTATAGTCATCAGAATATTGCAGTAAAATTCCAATAATGTGTCTTCTATTCACAGAATCAGTTTTTACTTTAAAATGTCAAGGGTAATATGAAATACCTTTCTCATTCCTATACTCTCCCACCCTCATACATTACCTCCTAATTTACACCTTACCGGATTGTATTTCAGACTTTCATCATCCTAATTTGTTATATGATTCTACATCATTTTCTCTTTTATGCATAGGGAGCTTAAAAAACTGTGTTGACTTCTCAGTTGACTTCTAATTTATATTTCTTGGGACTGGAGTTGAGATATCACTGGATGTTTCAATACTGTCCCAAAACTTGTTTTCTATTTTAGAGTATGAAATAGTTGAAACCCCTGGCAGATCTTTTTTTATATATATAATCATATATTCTAACCTTTTTGTGATACAATGATAATACAATTAAACCTTAAAGTGTCATATATAATTTAATTGTATTATTATTGTATCACAAAAAAGTTAGAATATATGATTATTACACTTTCTAGGGAGAAAGTATGACTTTTTGAGGGGTTTGAAGTGGAAGAGGTTATATATTTATTAGATCTTTTTTTACATCTGTGTCCCTTTTTGGATATTTCCCTTCAGTTACAGGAAGCAAAAATAAATCTTACTTGTCACAGGTTCAAGGAGATTTCACCCCTGCTCCTGTTCTGGTGACAACAAAACATCTTGGATGGGGCCCTCACTTCCAGTGCCAGTAACATTGATCACAAGGACATTAGAGAGACTAAATCTTCCTAATGAGAACCCAGACAACAATACAAATCTCTAACCTTTTACTGCTTTAATACATTTTTTTAAAAAACTGAAAATGGGGTTTGCTTTAGTTTTTTTTAAATTATAACTTAGTTTTTTTTTTAAAACTTTAACCTTTAATTGTCGGTTTTAATAAATGTAAAAACTCAAGGAAGGGTGGGTTTAAACTTGAACACAGTTTCCTTTTATGCAGATAGAGCATCAATGGTATTAAGCTGTTGAAGTGATGTTGAATGTCCTCCAGTGTAGCGATCCAAGCGAGAACACTGAGGATTAATTTGATCTAAGTGTGAGCCGTAGATTTCATGTGATAAGTGCATGTACAGATTTGTACAAGGTGAACATTTTCTTGTATTTGTCCTCTGTGGACAAATGATTTGCAAGTCAAATGTGTATTACGAAAACTGTCAAATGCGTATTATGAAAACTGCTAGTGCTCATATATACCAATTAGATTTTCAGTCATTGTAATTACCGCTCATGTCTTTTCTTTATCTACAGCCTGAAGTACATGGTGAAGCAACTAGAGAATGGAGAGGTCAACATTGTGGAACTGAAAAAAAAACTTGGAGTACACTGCCTCATTGCTGGAAGCTGTATATATTGATGAGACACGGTGAGACACACGTCAGTCACTTGTATGCTTGTTCTAGAAGTATATAGTATTGCTATGGTCAACTCAATAAAGCAAAAGACATACAGTAATTTTTATTACTGTGGAATATTTTCTAATTTTTATGATTACATATTTTTATACACATCTGGTTTTATTTCATGGATCATCGAGTTAATTGAGTGCACTTTGTATTATCACTGTTTGCAATATTTTTATGTAAAAGTCAATTTACAAAGATTACCAGATGGCTTCTTCTCAGTCACCACTTAAACTGCTAGCTGGTGATAATTTCAAGATTCTATTAAATGCCAAAAGAGAATAGAGCAAACAAAAAGGAGTTAAAAAATAATGCTTAAAGGACAACTGTGTTTTTTTGCTACCCCAAATTGCCTCTTTCCCTGTATCTCTAGCGCTCATAAGGTGCACTCTCAGGAGCACATTACTTTTCAGCTGTTCTGCTTGTCAAGTAGAAATGAACGGGACACACACTGATGTGGTCACCAATGTAAAACTAGCTTTAATATAATAAGTAGAGGATTCAAAACCCATAGTCTTACCTATCCTACTCCTTCTCCATTGTGTTTCACCCAACAAAGGGCTTATTAGTGGTCTCCGTGATTAAGCTCTTTGCACTGTGAAATGCATTGGAGCGATAGACGGAAATGTGAGACTACAGTATATGTTGTGAATCCTCTATGTATTATATTAAATCTGGTTTTACATCGGTGATGGCATCAGTGTATGGTCCGTTCATTTCTACTTGACAAGCAGAACAGCGTGGTGTGGATATGCTCCTGAGCGTGCGTCTAATGAGAGCTGCAGGTAGCATAGCTACTATTGATTCCACAGTGTTTTTTCTGCAGTTTGACCAAAAGTGGGGGGATACCTCCCTGATATAAACAAAGACAGCAAAAAACTGTACTTTTCCCATCTCCCACATCTGTTAAAACAAAGTTTTGGCTTAAGTTAGGCTTTAATATTTCGTATTGAGAACAACCAATCCTCCATAAGCATATACAACCATAGTGAGAATATGCAGTGATTGCTTATCTTAGTGCAATGTCTTACACCAGCCTATTTCAACTAGGGTTCTGTAGAAGAGGTTGCTAGTGGTTCCTTGAGCAATTGGCAATTTCTACCTCTCAGAAAAGCTCCTATTGGCTCCAGTGATCCTTTTAGCTATTTGTAAGAGGGGGATTCTTACATTTGACCACAAATGTAAGGTGCATTCTTATCACTGACCATCCCACTTATGAACAGTGAGCTGTAATTGTTAGTATTTATTAGCAGGGGTTCCCTGAGACTAAAACATATATTTTTTAAGGGTTCCTCCATGTCAAAAAGATTTAGAAAGGCTGGCTAACACTATCATAAGAATGGGAAGAAAGGTAAACATCCCAGTCCATATCTTGCCAAATAGTGAACAGGCATATATTAGCTGGCTACATGTATTCAAGTGAAAGGCTAAAGTTGCTGACTAACTTTTACTTCATTTATTGACATCAGTGGATTGACAGCCACCACCCTAACTGACTACCAGTGTCAAAGGCTGTATGTATTAATCTTCTGTTACTAAAAACTAGAGTCACTCACTCTTAATCACTGATCATATTTAAATCTGCTCTGAAACTTCGATTCTGACAGGCAGCTGTGGGAAAATATTCTGGTTAAAGAGGGGAATAATTGTTGTAAGGACCACACAAATATTTAAGTGGTTGTTCTCTCCTTATAATTTGCTACTTTAAAGCATATTTAAACCCAAAAACAAAAAAAAATTTATATATTGCAGCTTACAACACTTAAATGTGGCTGCATTAGATTTCTTTTTTTATTATTATTTTTTTTTTATTTTACCTGGTGATCAGTAACACATCTCCTGCCTTAAAAAAAACCTATGCTTACTGAACTGAAGCCATGGTCACATGATGATCCTTCTCTCTTCTTCAATTTTACTTTCTGGTATGCTTCTGCAGGTGACCACATCACTGCTTGCTTGATGTGAACACCTCCTATTGGTGGAGGCAACACTTTCAGTAGCTAGGTTCTCTCCCATAGGCTGCAGGGGCAGGAGAACTCATGGGGCAGGGGACCACAGCCCAAGAAGATAACAAGCAGGGAAAATTGTCCCCCCAGGGAAGGATATTAGCTTGGCTCATTGAGGAAACTGTGACTTTGATCCATTACACTGCAGGGAGGCTTAGGAAGAGGTGTTTGGATTCAAGACTGAGTGTAAGATGTACATTGCACTCATTTTATTTGTGCCTGAAGTTGGGCTACAAGGATTGGCAAAGTGTGATATATTAAATGTTTCCTTTTGGATTTAGATATGCTTTAAATTATTAGAAAGAAGCTATTTTTTCCTGTAGTTTCTGTTTCTCACAAAGGAGTGCATGGCTGTGCATCTAGATAAGCAGGAGCTTCATTATCCTGACTGGTGAACTGTTCTGTTTTTTTTTTTAATTTTGGTAGCTCCATAATGGGTTAAGTTTTTGGGGCCCTGTGTAGTAGAACAAGATTCAGCAGTGATGTTTCTACCCCTTACTTGGAAAAAAAATTTGAATAGGTTCTTTTTATTTAACCGCTTCCCAACCGCCCTATAGCAGAACTACTACTACAGAGCGGCAGGGCTGCATAAAATCACGTATATATACGTGATTTTGTATTTCCGGGTAGGGGGCATGTGTGCACGCCACCCTACCTGCCCTTTCATTGGGGCTACAGCTGTCCATCATGGGATCCTGGTCGGAGATTCCCCGTTGACACCTGCTGATCGCCAAGGAACACTGACAGAGGAGAGGTCTGTATGTAAACAATACCAGTATATATACCGCCATTTGTAGATGCTATAACTTTCACGTAAACCAATTCATGGTTTACATGTATTGGGATTAGAAAAGACATGTAGCAGAATACATTTTGGTCTAAATGTATGACGAAATTTGATTTTTAAAATTTTTTTATTGGACATGTTTTATAGCAAAAAGTAAAAAATATTGTTTTTTTTTTTTTCAAAATTGTTGATCTTTTTTGCTTATAGCGCAAGAAATAAAAAAAAGGCACAGGGGATCAAATTTGTGGGAAAAAAGGATATAAATTAAATTTGGGTGCAGCACTGCATGATCGCGCAATTGTCAGTTAAAATAACGCAGCGCCGTATCGCAAAGAATGGCCTAGTCAGGAAGGGGGTTAAATCCTCTGGAGTGCAAGTGGTTAAATAAGCAATACTTTGTTTATTTTTATGTGATTTAAGTCCTGGTCTAAGAATATTTTCTTACATTCATGAACAGTCTTGGCTCAAAATGACACAATATTTTTATCCAGTTTAGAAGTATATATGAGTGTTCAGTCTTCCTCAGTTTATTAACTGTCATCTTCTGTATTTTCTCTTTGCAGACAAATCCTAGACACAGAGGATGAACTTCAAGAAATTCGCTCAGATGCTGTACCCTCTGAGGTCAGAGACTGGCTGGCTTCTACATTTACACAGCAAACGCGGTCCACAGGTCGACGGTCTGAGGAAAAGCCAAGGTTCCGCAGCATTGTACATGCTGTACAGGCAGGCATTTTTGTGGAGAGGTAAGCAGCATTTTTATCTATTCTATCTTATTACTTTTTTTTTTACTTTTTATGTAGTACTCGCATTCTGCAGAACCTTTTCATTTGGGTAAGGGTTTATTCACACTATTTTCGGCAACCTATTTTTTTCTGCATTGTCTAATTGCAGATCACTGCTAAGGTTCACACCATAACACTTGTGTGATGTGTATTACATGACACTTTAAATAAATGTATAAAAAAAAAAGTAGTGTAATAAGTAATACGCATCTGACTGTGAGCTGGCACTGCACTAGCCTGCAAAGTAAAACGCTGCATATTACCATGTGTGTAGAAAGCCTAAATGAAAAGATTTGCATGCATGAAAATAATAACATAACATACAGTTGTGTTCAAAATAATAGCAGTGTGTTGAAAGAAGTGAATAAAGCTCAAAATCCTTCTAATAGCTTTTATTTCCATACACACAAATGCATTGGGAACACTACACATTCTATTCCAAATCAAAACATGAAGAAAAATATATCATATTTGTGGTGTTCCTCTAAAAAAATTAAGAAAAGTGAATATTAGACTGTTCAAAAAAATAGCAGTGTTTGTATTCTTCTTTACAAACTCAAACATTCACTATATAAACTGAAAAATGTTTGAAGATTTTGCTTTCCTTTGAATCACTTAATGAATATTTCGTTGTATAAGCACTGTTTCTGAGAACTGCTGTACATCTGTATTGCATGGAGTCAACCAACTTCTGGCACCTGTGAACAGGTATTCCAGCCCAGGATGATTGGACTACATTCCACAGTTCTTCTCTATTTCTTGGTTTTGCCTCAGAAACTGCATTTTTGATGTCACCCCACAAGTTTTCTATTGGATTAAGATCTGGTGACTGGGCTGGCCACTCCATAACGTCAATCTTGTGGGTCTGGAACCAAGATGTTGCACGTTTACTGGTGTGTTTGGGGTCGTTGTCTTTTTGGAACACCCATTTAGAGGACATTTCCTCTTCAGCATAAGGCAGCATGACCTCTTCAAGTATTCTGATGTATTCAAACTGATCCAAGATCCCTGGTATGAGATTAATAGGCCCAACACCGTAGTATGAGAAACATCCCCATATCATGATGCTTGCACAACCATGCTTCACTGTCTTCACAGTGTACTGTGGCTTGAATTCAGTGTTTGGGAGTCGTCTGACAAACTGTCTCCGGCCACTAGACCCAAAAAGAACAATCTTACTTTCATCAGTTCACAAAATGCTGCGCCATTTCTCTTTAGGCCAGTCAATGTGCTCTTTGGCAAATTATAACCTCTTCAGCACATGTCTTTTTTTCAACAGTGGGACTTTGCGGGGGATTCTTGCAGATAGCTTGGCCTTACATAGGCGTCTTCTAATTGTAACAGTACTCACAGGTAACTTTAGACCTTCTTTGATCTTCCTGGAGCTGATTGTTGGCTGAGTCCTTGTCATTTTGGCTATTCTTCTATCCATTCGAATGGTAGTTTTTCGCTTTCTTCCACGTCTTTCAGGTTTTGGTTGCTAGTTTAAAGCATTTGCGATCATTTTAGCTGAGCAGCCTATCACTTCTGCACTTCTTTATATGTTTTCCCCTCTCCAATCAACTTTTTAATCAAGGTACGCTGTTCTTCAGAACAATGTCTGGAATGACCCATTTTCCTCAGAATTTCAGAGAGAAATGCACTCTAACCAGCATGTACAACATTTGCTGCCTTCCTTCCTTAAATAAGGGCAATAATTGCCACCTGTTTTTCAAAGAATGAATGACCTCACTAATAGAACGCCACACTGCTATTATTTTGAACATGTCCCTTTCAATTAGTGATTCAATTACACAGAATCAGCAGCATGCATGTCATGCCTGTTGGGTCTGTTGGATTTCTATTACTCTACTACACCTGCTAGTAAATTATTTGCCATGTAGAAATATCATTTCTACCAAAAAAAGTGATTGATCAGGTTAGTGATGTCTGACTGCTATTATTTTGAACACAACTGTACAATGAAAATGTGGGGAAGGGCATCTGTTTGCAAGTTTACACAGGGCAATTTAAAAAAAAAAACACAAATGCCCGCACAACATCCTTGGAGATCCAAGGAAAAAAAACCTTTATGAAGCGGAGTCCATTTTTGAGAAGGCCTTGTCTGCTGGAGCTGACCTAGCTAAGGGGAGACAAGACATGACCACTATGAAAGAAAAAAACACTGCATTCTCGGTTATCTGAAGAAAGGCAAAACAAATCCTTTAAAAGTGGAAATCACTTTGAATATACTTTTAATGCAAAGTGCAATCATGCTAAATAATGTGTAAGTGTAACACTTCTGGGTATTTATTACCACTTTCAGAAATCACAGTACTTCCCCTGACAGAGCTATACTCTCCTGAAGCATGGAACCATCTTTGTTCAGGCATTATTCAGAATCAGCATCTACTTCTTGGACTGACTTATATATGATAAAATCATTTCCTATTGCCAGTGCCAGTCTTTTATTTTTCAAACCCGAGGTGTACAAAAACCCAAAACCATGGTTAATAAAAAAAATGGATGTGTACACACACAAAAAATGCGGAGGAAGGAACCTACTGGCCACACATCCTCACCCTAGACTTCAGGGTAGGCCCCAAAACCCACACCCTACCATCTGTGAATAAAGGAAAAAAGACACATGAAAAAGTGTGGTGAAACACAGATTGAGAGTGAGTAAATAAAAAATAAAAAAGCGGCAATTATGTGCACAGTGGCAAAGCCTTGTGGCCTGGTAACAAAAATTGCCAAAGCTTGGCTCAGCACATTCATTGTGGTACCGAGAAAAGCTTTAAGTTTGTGGCCTAATGCAGTTTCACACAGTGGGAACCCAAACCTATAGTGCTGGCTTCCCGGGACACAACCCCCAGTGGTGCTTTATACTGCGGGCTTCTATGTCTTCCCTGTCCCTGGCCAAACTAGGTAGCACTGCTCATATCGGGATGCACTGGGCCCCTCAGAATCTTCCACATCAGGCAATTACTCTCAGCCCCAACTCCCCACTTAACGAAGTGGGTTATCACACAGTTTCTCTTACCATGGGAATGGGAATGATACCTCATGGCCACCATGAGACTAGCAGGGATACTATACAGTCAGCAACCAAGTCAAAAGGCCAGAATGATTGTAGAGCACCCCACTGGACACTGATGAGGACAGATAATACACTTGATCTTAGGCCAGTGTCAATCTTAGCTGTATTCACCATTTTCTGACACAGATCAGCCCTTGCTGCAGCCTCTTACCTTGTGACATGTTACATAGTTCCCATGCAGTCTGATCAATGGATGAGAGGAGATGTAGGAATTCTTCTCCCTGCCTACACAGGCTAATGACATCATCTCACCCTAGGCAAAAACACTGGAACATCTAAGGAATGTATTCATGCATACCTGCTACCTAGAATTTCACTTTAGAGCTTGGTCCATTTTGCTTTAACAAGTAAAAAGATTCCAGTGTTTGTCTTTTTTATTTTTTGCATCTCTTGTTTTTTTTGAGATTCAACGACAGTGCTCCTTTAGATTTATAGTTATCAAATTACTTTAACATATATGTTACCAATTTTTAAAGGATAAATTCACCTTTGACCAAAAATAATAAATGCACATTTTTTTGCATTACAAAAGAGCCTGTAAAGCATTTCACCAGTGGTCAGCAGTTTACTGGTGCCATGCAGGTCTCCTGCAGACCTGTCAGTATATCTGCTTGCCCGTATGGGATGTATGGGCAAGCAGATATACTGACAAGAAGATTCAATGAACTACCACGCCGTTCGACAGCACCATGATAGTTGATTGAGAACTACAAGCCGACAGCAGCTAAGGCTGTCGGGAAGGTAGTTCATTCATGTTGTTTTTAAAAAGTGACAGCTTGCAAGGGGAACTTCTCCCCGTACTTCTGTCACTAGGTGGGAGGCAGTGGCTGCAGCATTGGGAGCAATATAAAAGTATACTTTAGAATTTTATCCTTAAAAATTTCAAACACTTTCAAAAATAGTCTTTGTCTTTCATTTGCAATATTTAGTCCTAGTTTTTGTGGACAAAGACAATCAGGGAAGGGAAGAATGAATGCTTATTTGTGTAAAGGAAACATCATATCTAATAATAAAGCATAACTATTTTATATTATTACTGAGTCATTTATGGAAATTGCAGTTAGGGGCAGATGGTGGGGAAAGAGAAATTGGCAGGAAAAAATCTAATAAATAAAGATGAACTTCTGTCAGATATAAAAGATGCAAACTAATGATGCTCTGACCTCATCTGTCTACTGCTGCTCTTTCACAGCCCAATCAGCAGGCTGAAGGTGGAAATTTAGATGGACAGAAATACAATTATTTTGTTGCAGCTTTTATATATATATATATATATATATATATATATATATATATATATATATACACTATATTGCCAAATGTACTGGGACACACCTCCAAATTTGTGAAGGAATGGGTTACTCTCAGGAGCTCAGACTATTCAAGTGTGGTACCGTGATAGGTTGCCTCCTGTGCAATAAGCCTGTCCGTGAAATTTCCTTTCTACTAAATATTCCACGGTCAACTGTTTGTGGTATTTTAACAAAGTGGAAGCAGCTGGGATCAACAGTAACTCAATATTGAACCCTACAGACTAAGACTAGGATGCCATTAATGTTCACGTGCGTGTAAAGGCAGGCATCCCAATACTTTTGCCAATATAGTGTATATAGATATACCATCTCAATATCCAAATACTGTATATATTACCCATATAAGTAGACAACAAAATGATCTCCCAATGATTTCCACTAGTTTTTTAAGGAATAAGGTCTGCCAGGTTCTAAAATAAAAAGTACACAGGTAGACTGGTTCAGTATATCAACATACACTACTGTATATTGCCAAAAGTATTGGGATGCCTGCCTTTACATGCACATGAACTTTAGTGGCATCCCAGTCTTAGTCTGTAGGGTTTAATATTGAGTTGGCCCACCCTTTACAGCAATAACCCTTCAACTCTTCTGGGAAGGCTGTCCACAAAGTTTAGGAGTGTGTCTATGGGAATGTTTGACCATTCTTCCAAAAGTGTATTTGTGAGGTCAGGCACTGATGTCGGATGAGAAGGACTGGCTTGCAATCTCCACTCTAATTCCTCATCATGTTCTTTCAGGTTGAGGTCAGGACTCTGTGCAGACCGGTCAAGTTTCTCCACCCCAAACTGGCTCATCCATGTCTTTATGGACCTTGCTTTGTGCACTGGTGCCCAGTCATGTTGGAACAGGAAGGGGCCATCCCCAAACTGTTCCCACAAAGTTGTGAGCATGAAATTGTCCAAAATGTCTTGGTATGGTGATGCCTGAAGAGTTCCCTTCACTAGAACTAAGGGGCCAAGCCCAACCCCTAAACAACAACCCCACACCATAATCCTTCCTCCACCAAACTTTACACTTGGCAAAATGCAGCCAGGCAAGCACTGTTATCCTGGCAACCGCCAAACCCAGACACGTCCATCAGATTGTCAGACAGAGAAGCGTGATTTGTCACTCCAGAGAACATGTCCCCACTGCTCTAGAGTTCAGTGGTGGCATGCTTTACGCCACTGCATCCAACACTTTGCATTGCACTTGGTGATGTAAGGCTTAGATGGAGCTGCTCGGCCATGGAAATTCATTTTATGAAGCTCTCTATGCACTGTTGTGCTAACATGACGGCCACACAAAGTTTGGAGGTGTTTAACTATTGATTCTGCAGACAGGTGGCGATTTCTGCACACAGTGCGCTTCAGCATGCGCCCACCACTTCATGGCTGAGTTGCTGTTGTTCCCAGTTTCTTCCACTTTGTTATAATACCACTAACAGTTAACCGTAGAATATTTAGTAGCAAGGAAATTTCACAGATCCACAGGTGGCAACCTACCACACTTGAATTTACAGAGCTCTTTCACAAATGTTTGTAGAAGCAGTCTGCATGTCTAGGTGCTTGATTTTATACACCTGTGGCCATGGAGGCGATTGGAACACCTGAATCCAATTATTTGGAGGGTGTGTCCCAATGCTTTTGGCAATATAGTGTATCCTTTACTACAAAACTTAGCAGACTTTATCCCTAAGAAAACTGGTGGAGACTCTTGTGAGATAATTTTGTTTCTTTTTTTTGTACATTTTTTCGTATAGGATGCCCTGCTCCTGGGCTCAGGAGCCTTTTTTGTTCTCTTTTGCCCCCCAGCCAATGAGGACATGGCTGTTTTATAGCAGAGGGTGAATGTAGCACCCTCCTAGTTTAGCTATCAGGAGCCAGACCGTAATGGTTAGCCAGGAGCTGGTTAGCAGTTCAGGTGTGATAGTTAGAGGGGTCAAATTGTGATCATGGCTGAGAAACTCTGCAGGCCAGCCCCTCTGGAATTTCCCCCTGTGAGGCTTTCGGAGGAGGGCCTTCGAAGCAGTGGGTGGATCTGAGGACTGGCTAGCTGCACTTGAGGGTTCCTAGCCAGTCCCCAACAGAAGGTTTGGCAAGGGGCGGGATACCCTTAGAAGTGTAAGAGCCTGCTCAGTAGCAGGAGTATGTGTGTGTGTGTGAGAGTCAGATGGAAAAAGGAGTAGGAATATGTGAGGCTGGAGGACAAAGGCTGCCATGAGGCCTAGTGGGATGGGCCCTGCCTGCAAGCCTGGAGCTGGAAAGGAGGAAAACTCAGGACTCACTGGCCCACTGAGTGAGGACCACCTGTATGGCAGGGAAGGAGCAACCCAGCTGATAGGCCTGGCAGCAGCAGCCAGCCCGTAAGCAGTACAGGAGAGGATCTGAGTGATTACACCTGCAGCCCCTAGGCAGATAGGGGAAGGAGCACTCTGGTGGGAAACCAGATTAGCCCTCTACTAGTGACTGTTCACCTCGTTTAAAGAAACAGGAGCCAGATCCCCTGTTAAGGAAGAAAGTCTCCAGATTGCTGGGAGAAGAGGAGTTCATCTAGGGTCTGGGATGGTACAACTAGGAGATGCTGGCTAGCACTCCAACAGAGACTGCATCAGATAAGAGAAATGCAGGAAGTTATCCTCACTTATCGGTTTCCTTGGGCATCCTATACCCCCCTTTACCCTATCCAAGTTCTAATCCCCTCAATAAGTAACAAAACTAAAGCATAAAGACTGGTTTCTGTCTCCGAATGCAAGCTTGCATGGAAAATGCTGAATGACTGGCTGTGCAGGACTATAGGGGGACCCAATACATCAGCAATCCCTAAGGGGGTAGTGCTACAGTTGCTTTATTATTGACTTGTATCTGCTGATAAACAGTTATCTCTGTCTTATTGCAACAAAAAGTTTACATTTACATAAATATGGGACAATCATCATAAACAGGGTCCTTCCAAAAAATCTTCCTAAACAGATTATTATGTTCAGAGGTTCTCCTAGGAAAGGCTGCTACATATCTTTGCTTAGAGCTTACATAGTGATGAAATTAAAAACCATGGGGCCCTGATTCGTTCCATCCAAAGGCAGTAAAATGAATTGAGGTATCTATTGATCAGTTCTACCGTACTAAGAAGGTGCTGCTGCCATCTGTTGTGGTTCCTGGGAGTCTAATGCAGGCCATAGATGGGTCGAAAATCGGCCGATTTTTCGGCCGAAAATAAAATCGGCCGATTTTCGGATCGTTAGTGGGCTATTTGGTCGGCCGTTTTTCGGTATTTTGGCCGTTTTTTTTTCTCTGTAAAGTTGGAAAAAAATCGGCCGATTTTCGCGGCAATTAGTGGGCAAATCGGCCGATTTTTTGCCGATAAAAAATCTGTGCATGAGCAGTGACCTGCAAGAGGAAGACAAAAAGAAGAAAAAGAAGAAGAGGATGAAGAAGAGGATGAAGAAGAAGAAGAAGAGGAAGAAGAAGAGGATGAAGAAGAAGAAGAAGAAGAAGAGGATAAGGAAGAGGAAGAAGAAGAAGAGGATGAGGATGATGAAGAAGAAGAGGATGAGGATGAAGAAGAAGAAGAGGATGAAGAAGAAGAGGATGAAGAAGAAAGAAGAAGAGGATGAGGAGAAGAAGAAGAAGAAGAAGAAGAAGAGGATGAAGAAGAAGAGGATGAGGATGAAGAAGAAGAGGATGAGGATGACGAAGAAGAAGAAGAGGATGAAGAAGAAGAGGATGAGGATGACGAAGAAGAAGAAGAAGAAGAAGAAGAGGATGAGGGTGAGGAAGAAGAAGAGGATGAGGATGAAGAAGAGGATGAGGATGAAGAAGAAGAAGAAGAAGAGGATGAGGATGAAGAAGAAGAAGAAGAAGAAGAAGAAGGATGGAAATAAGAAGAATTCCAGTCCAGCAAAAAGTGTCTCTGCAGAGAGCTCCGCTATTTCTGACAGTTCTCTGACAGTTCTCTGACATTTACAGCGGTTGCAACAATGTATCTATTTGTTTCCGAATAAAAACATCTGTATCCTAAATGGAAACAAATAAATACAATGTTTCAACCGCTGTAAATGTGAAGGAACTGTCAGAGAACTGTCAGAAATAGAGGAGCTCTCTGCAGGGACACTTTTTGCCAGCTGTAGAAGGGAGGGATGAAAATCGGCCGATTTTTTTTTTTTACCATTGATGGTAACGTCGGCCGCTTGAACGACTGAATTTTCGTTTTTTAAAAGAAAAATCTGCCGTTTTTCTCCCCATCTATGGCCTGCATTATGCAGGCCATAGATGGGTCGAAAATCGGCCGATTTTTTGGCTGAAAATAAAATCGGCCGATTTTCGGATCGTTAGTGGGCTATTTGGTCGGCCATTTTTCGGTATTTTGGCCGTTTTTTTTCTGTAAAGTTGGAAAAAAAAATCGGCCGATTTTGCCGATCGACCGATTTTCGCGACAATTAGTGGGCAAATCGGCCGATTTTTTGCCGATAAAAAATCTGCGCATGAGCAGTGACCTGCAAGAGGAAGACAAAAAGAAGAAAAAGAAGAAGAGGAAGAGGATGAAGAAGAGGATGAAGAAGAAGAGGAAGAAGAAGAGGATGAAGAAGAAGAAGAAGAGGATGAGGAAGAGGAAGAAGAAGAAGTAGAAGAGGATGAGGATGAAGAAGAAGAGAATGAGGATGAAGAAGAAGAAGAAGAGGATGAGGATGAAGAAGAGGAAGAAGAAGAAGAAGAGGATGAAGAAGAAGAGGATGAAGAAGAAGAAGAAGAAGAAGAGGATGAAGAAGAAGAAGAAGAAGAAGAAGAAGAAGAGGATGAAGAAGAAGAAGAAGAGGATGAAGAAGAAGAAGAAGAAGAGGATGAAGAAGAAGAAGAAGAAGAAGAAGAGGATGAAGAAGAAGAAGAAGAAGAAGAGAAGAAGAAGAAGAAGAGGATGAAGAAGAAGAAGAGGATGAAGAGGATGAAGAAGAAGAAGAGGATGAAGAAGAAGAAGAAGAAGAAGAGGATGAAGAAGAAGAAGAAGAAGAAGAGGAATGAAGAAGAAGAAGAAGAAGAGGATGAAGAAGAAGAAGAAGAAGAAGAAGAAGAGGATGAAGAAGAAGAAGAAGAAGAAGAGGATGAAGAAGAAGAAGAAGAAGAAGAAGAAGAGGATGAAGAAGAAGAAGAAGAAGAAGAGGATGAAGAAGAAGAAGAAGAAGAAGAAGAGGATGAAGAAGAAGAAGAAGAAGAGGATGAAGAAGAGGATGAAGAAGAAGAAGAAGAAGAGGATGAGGATGAGGGTGAGGAAGAAGAAGAGGATGAGGAAGAAGAAGAAGAAGAGGAGGAGGATGAGGAAGAAGAAGAGGACGAGGATGATGAAGAAGAAGAGGACGAGGATGAGGATGAGGAAGAAGAAGAAGACGAATAATCAGAAGAAGAGGAGGAGGATGAGGGTGAAGAAGAAGAGGATGAGGATGATGATGATGAAGAAGAGGATGAGGATGAATAAGAGGATGAGGATGAAGATGATGATGAAAGAAGAAGAAGAAGAAGGATGAAAATAAGAAGAATTCCAGTCCAGCAAAAAGTGTCTCTGCAGAGAGCTCTGCTATTTCTGACAGTTCTCTGACAGTTCTTTGACATTTACAGCGGTTGCAACAATGTATCTATTTGTTTCCGAATAAAAACATCTGTATCCTAAATGGAAACAAATAGATACAATGTTTCAACCGCTGTACATGTGAAGGAACTGTCAGAGAACTGTCAGAAATAGCGGAGCTCTCTGCAGGGACACTTTTTGCTGGCTGTAGAAGGGATGAAAATCGGCCGATTTTTTTTTTACCATTGATGGTAACGTCGGCCGCTTGAACGACCGAATTTTCATTTTTTAAAAGAAAAATCTGCCGTTTTTCTCCCCATCTATGGCCTGCATTAGACCATGATTGTGTGTCCGATCTGCCCTGCAAGCAATGAACCCAGAAGTGCTCATCTCTGACTATTTCCGGGCTCAGAGCTGTTAAGCTCAGTGTGACAAGTCGCGTAAACAGCCAATCAAGCACAGTCATATGCTTGATCAGCTGTGGTATAGATCAGGGGATACAACAGAGGTATAATAGACCCCTGGTGTCTTCATAAAGAGAAACTATCACCTTCCCATGCTATCACATAGAGGGCTTGTTGGCCATCTTAGATTAAATTTATATAAAACATGTAAAATATTTAATTACAGTACAATAAATAAAAAAAGTAAAAGCAGCTTAGTTGCCCTGCACATACAAGCAAATAACAAATGCACTTGTATTGTACACACCTGTATGTACTGTAAACAGCAATTGCAGCACACATGGCAGATATTGTTGTGCACAACAGAGTGAGAGCAATAATTCTGGGGCCATTATTTTACTTTTAAAGGACTGCATATGGACAATTGTGAGTACGGTCGTTTTTCACCATTTCATGGGTGCACACAATTTTAAGGCTTGACATGTTTGGTATCTAGTTGTTCAACACAACTCCTTCTTTTATATTTTACCAAAATGTTGGTAATATATTGTGCTTGTGTGCGCTAAAATTAATTTTAGTATATTTTTTCCTGAAAAAAAAAATTTGATAAGCATTTGCATAAAATATTGTTGGTAGCGTAAAATACCATATTATTCTACAGGGTCTCTGCTTTCAGGAAACATATAATTGTTTAAGGGTTTTCAGTAATTAATAAAAAAAATCCCAGGGCACAAAGTGGCTAAATGTGGCCACACTCACACTTAAAAACGTTTTCAACATCCTAGTCACCATTTCAAGGTAGACGCGTTTAGGATATAGTTTCTTTTTTAAAAAAGGTTTTCAACGCTCTATATTTTATCCCTTTCTGTTTTCAGAATGTTTCGAAGGACGTATACAGCAGTTGGACCAAATTATTCTGCAGCTATTGTTAACAGTTTAAAGGTAGGATAATATGTATTAAATATCAACCAGGAACATTGGAACATACTTTAATATACACCTCTTGTCCATAGTGCATTTTTAATTAGTAAAACAAAAGGTAATTTTTTTATTTTGCCTTTATTACCACTTTAAGGGGGAGATTTACTAAAATTGGTGCACTCAGAAGCTGGTCTGCTACCATGCACAGCTACACTATATTCTAACTTCAGCTTGTTCAATTAAGCTTTGTTAATAAGGCTAGGTCCACATCTCCGTGTTCCTGCGGGACACTTTTTGCATGGGCACGAGAGCCCATTCATTTGAATGGACTCTCATGCCCCGGGACACGCAGGAAAGAAGTCCCTACACTTCTTCGGAAAACACAACCCGCATGGGAACCTTGGTTCCCAGTACAGTTGCGGTTTCCAGTGCAGGCGGCGTGCCATTAGAATTACTGGCACCTGCCCGGGGGTCCACATTCCTTTGTGCAGGTGGTGTAGCTGCATGGATTTTTGTACGGATCCGCAGTGGCACCACCTGCACAGATGCGAACCAGATTTGCACTATGCAGTTTTAGTAATTAACCCCCTAAGTGTATGTAAACCCAAGAGCAAATATTTAAAATATAGTGGGTTACCAGTTCTTATATTTGGTGGGTGCATTAGTTTTCCTTTTTAGGCAAAGTAATTTTCCTGCAAGTTCAGAAATATACTGTACCCATTGATCCTGCCTGAAATCCAGTCCTTATAACTTCCTTTGCACTAAAATGAAATCTGAATAGATGCCATTAGTTTTGCCAGCTGTCTTCCCTGGGCTACAGAATGCCTTCCCCTATGTAAAAGAGATGGGGAGAGGGTAGGCTGTTTGTAGTTAACACCAGGAGACCACCCTACGATGGAAAAACTGCTCCCCAACAGTTATAGCAAAGTGAGTTAACATTGTTACTTTAGTAAAGGAAGTGTTTAATTGACATGTTGACCAGGTGAAAATGAACAAAATAAAGTTTGAAAAAGAAAACTAATACAGCCACCACATTTAAAGTGTTACTAAACCCAGGACCCTGCATTCACTATATCTGGTCTCCCACAGTACATAGAACATGGAAAAACAATTATTTTAGTAAATACAAACTGCTAAATACCTTTTCTCATCAGCAGTTAGAGCAGTCTTGTGACTTCTATCAGTGTCTAGCTGAGCACTGATTAAAGCTTGTAGGAGGAGTTTTCATTCTCCTCTCACTGCCCTACGAGATTGCATAACTCTTGACCCTCTGGACAGTGCCGATTGGCGCTGTACTGATCAAATGCACCCTCCCAAGAATAATAAAAAGCTCTCTAGCAGTACACACCAAACTGAGCATGTGCAGAGTGTCCCCGAGGCTCTGTTCTATCAGGAGATGAAATGGGGAACGTGGAAGAAGGGGATGATCAGAGAAGAGAGAATTAAACATCCTTTTTACACAATGCATAGGATTTTCCTCTTAAGTTCCACAGTGAGTATAACAAGCATGCTTTACTGCATATACAGAAAGATTTTACTGTTGTGGGTTTAGTAACACTTTAAGTTCTGGTAAGCTGCAACACATAAAATGTTTGTTTTTGGATTTAGATAAACTTATCTTGTGACTTTATTTCACTACTGTAAATCTCCTATTTTTGTGCCTAACTTTTTCTGTTTTGTATAATATATAGAAATTTGGCAGAGATCTAAATAACAAGATGTTCAGTTTGTCCCCAGAGGTATAAGACCAAATCTGGTTGGTTTGCAGTTTGTTCTGCACTCCTATTACACTTTTTCAGCCGACAGCAGGATGAAGCCCACTGTTCGCTGACGTCACTCAGCCGGTCCAGGCTGGGGAAAAATCCAGACTTTAAAGTCCGGATCCACCCCAGAGTCTGGAGCGGCACCTGGCTCAGCCTCTCAGTGATCCACTGAAAGCCTGAGCCACCTGCTCCCTCCCCTCCACAACCCAGCTGTGAGAACTCAGCGATCAGTGGTCATGTGATTGCTGAGTTCTCACACTTATGCAGGCCATCGATGGGGAGAAAACCGGCCAATTTTTCTTTAAAAAAATGAAAAATCGGTCGTTCAATCGGCCGACGTTACCAGGAACGGTAAAAACAATCGGCCAATTTTCATCCCCTCTAAAGCCGGCAAAAAGTGTCCTGCAGAAGAGCTCCGCTATTTCTTTGACAGTTCTTTGACATTTATAGCGGCTGCAACATTATATCTATTTGTATCCATTTCGGATACAGATGTTTTTATTTGGAAACAAATAGATACATTGTTGCAGCCGCTATAAATGTCAAAGAACTGTCAAAGAAATAGAGGAGCTCTCTGCAGGGACACTTTTTGCTGGACTTGATTTCTTCTTCTTCATCCTCTTCTTCTTCATCCTCTTCTTCTTCTTCTTCTTCTTCTTCTTCTTCTTCCTCTTCTTCTTCTTTTTCTTCTTTTTTTCTTCCTCTTGCAGGTCACTGCTCATGCGCAGATTTTTTTATCGGTAAAAAGATCGGCCGATTTGCCCATCATTGCCGCGAAAATCGGCCGATCGGCAAAATCGGCCAATTTTTTTCAAACTCCACCGATAAAAAAAATCTGCCAAAATACCGAAAAAATGGCCGACCTATTAACCCACTAACGATCCGAAAATCGGCCGATTTTCGACCCATCTATGGCCTGCATTAGAGCCGGCGGGAGACAGATGCAGCATCGGTCTGATGCTGCATCCACCTAGGTAAATATGCTTTTTTTTTAAAAAAAAAAGCAATCCCACAATTCTGAATCTCTGTTTTCACAACTAATTGACAAAGTGTTCAGCAGTTTTTGTCAGGTTTGGGCTCCATGCACACTAGCGTTTTTTTTTAATATCCTAGAAGCTGTTATCAGCATATTTTTTCTGTTCTTACAAACTAAATAGTGTTATCCTGTGTGTCCATGCACAGTACTTTAGGCTATTAGTATTTTTGGAGCTTCAGAGTCTAGAAGCAGAAAAAAAATACTTTTTTTAGTTTTGTTTAGTGGTTCAGCAGAAAAAAAACTCTAAATGCTCCTAAACATTACAAAACTGCTCCTAGCAGCTTTTTTCTAGCTTTTTTATTTCTCTACATGTACTGTAAAAAACTAAACGCTACTAAAAAAGCTATTACCAACATTTTTTTATCCAGCATTTTTCCCAGCATTTTGTGAGCTTAAAGTGCATGGAGCCTTAAATCCTGTTGAGGACAGGTTTAGATCAGGATCAGGTCAGAATTGTATCCTGTTCACAACTGATGACATGTGTGATTCAGAAGCGTTCACATAGAAGTCAATGAGCCTGAATTCGTACTTGAGCCGGACCGTACTGCTCAGAAAACTAACAGGTTTATTTTTTCAATTTGCACTGAATCTGCACTCCAGTTGCACCGCACAATAGAAACCATGGTATTTCACATGTCATGCACATTGGATGTGATTCAAGCACATGCAATTGGCATGTACACTCACTGGTCACTTTATTAGGTACACCTGTTTAATTGCTCCGTAACACAAACTGCTAATCAGCCAATCACATAGTAACCACGCAATGCATCTAGACGTGGTGAAGACAACTTGCTGAAGTTCAAACTGAGCATCGGAATGAAGAAGAAAGAGGATTTAAGTGACATGAACATGGTATGGTTGTTGGTGTCAGACAGGCTGGTCTGAGTATTTCTAAAACTGCTGATCTACTGGGATTTGCACTCACAACCATCTCTAGGGTTTACAGAGAATGGTCAGAAAAAGAGCAAATATCCAGTGAGCGGCAGTTGTGTGGACGAAAATGCCTTGTTGATGTCAGAGGTCAGAGGAGAATCTGTGGACTGGTTGCTGTGACATTCACATGATAAGGTCAGAATATGGCATAAACAACATGAAAGCATGGATCCATCCTGCCTTGTATCAATGATTCAGGCTGGTGGTGTTGGTGTAATGGTGTAGGAGATATTTTCTTGGCATTAGCAAGGTGAACTTAATAAAATGGCCAGTGAGTGTATGTGAACCAGCTCTCAAATTGTTTTGGCACACATTTTTGCATCCAGGTCAAATTCAATTTGTACTACAAGTACACATCTATAGGGGGTTTCTGGCCATAGGCAGGTTGGATATTATTGCCGTGGAAGAAGTAGCTGTGCTTTGAGTGATGTTTTATAGAAAATCAGTTTACTCTATTTGGAATGCTGAATTATAGAAGAGAATTTTCATCTTGTTTTCTCTCTTTCTAGCATCTGGACTTGTGGGACTTTGATGTATTTGTGCTGAATAGAGTCAGTGAAGATCATGCATTGAAAACCATTGTGTTTGAACTTCTCACTAGACACAACCTGAACAGTCGCTTTAAGGTAACTTGTAATATGTGCAAACAGTTAAAAAAAAGGTAGTGTAATATTACTCACCAGAGTCAATCACATTTCTGTTTTCAGCTGTTTATTGCCTATTTGTACCACATTGTATGTATTGTGTTTTTTTTTTAAAGTACTGATAATAATTATGATTTATGCTGTAAAAGCAAGAATTTGAGCTTCACAAGGAGGGTTATAAACATTCTTTTTTTAGAATGTCATGTTCTGTTAGAATGTTAGAGCTAAATCAGGCAGAGAGAGTAAGTGACCCAATAACATATAAAATTCTTAAAATAAATATCGGCCTTGCTTTTCATTACAAGAAAAGGTTTTTGACTTTTTTTCCATTATCATGACCTCTAATTTTTTTTAGAACAGATCGGTTCAAGCACTTTTTAATTCAATATACCCAAAATCATAAATAGAACTCTTTCCATTCATTCCAGTATAGTAACCTTAAGCAGAACAGTTAAATAAATGATCAAAATAAAAGCCTAAGGATGTCATGGGTACGAGTAATGGCGTGCTGTTATTCCCATGAACGAGTTTACAGAAGTCATACGATGAAAAATAGCTGTCCATTGGTGACTGTGGTTGAATGTCTTGAAATTTTTTTTTACCTTGATGCAATCGTTGCTTTAACATAAAACAAATATTTTGCATGCAGCTCCCATCACCACCCAGCTGGGTGATGGGGGGAGCTGAGACCGATCTCAATCTAGCACCGTAGATAAGAGCAGAGGCTCTCTCGACTCTCTCCCTTCTCATTGGCTCAGAAACAGCAGCGGCTCCCACTGCTATCTATTACAGCCAGTGAGGAGGGAGCAGGGTGCAGGACTGAGGTGTATATGTATATGGACACAGTGCTGACTCAGGAGCTAGTGAGCAAGTGTGCAAAAGTGCCCTCATAGCAAGTGGCTTGCTATGGGGGCACTCATCAGCAGGGAGGAGCCAGGAGCACTGGTGGGGGACCCCAGAAGAAGAGGATTAGGGCTGCTCTGTACAAAACTATTGCACAAAAGTATATATTTATTTTCCAACAAATAACATTTTATCGTTTAGCATCACTTGAAAGTGTATGTAAACACTAACAAAGAATTTCTCTTATTTGTTGCTTTTTGATCTGTTAAATACACATTTGAAAGTGTTTTGTTATATCTGTCCAATAAGTACAAAATACCTGTTTATCCTGCCAAAAATCCAGTGAACTCCCAACATCCTGAAGTAAGCTGACAATGTTGCACTGAAATCTCCGTGGGCATCACTGATAATAATTATGATTTATGCTGTAAAAGCAAGAATGTGAGCTTCACAAGGAGGGTTATAAACATTCTTTTTTTAGAATGTCATGTTCTGTTAGAATGTTAGAGCTAAATCAGGCAGAGAGAGTAAGTGACCCAATAACTTATAAAATTCTTAAAATAAATATTGGCCTTGTTTTTCAGGAAGTGATGAAAAACTTTCCTAGTGGGTACAATACTAGAAATAAAAACCTGAAAAATATTTTATCTCTACCCCTACTCTATCCAAAACAAACACTGGCAGAAGTATGTATTTACAATTGTTATATATAGTAAATAATTATGATCAATTGTCCTTCAGTAGAGAAAAACTATTATTCAAGGTCAATGTATGCCACTCTTTATCTCAGGGCTTAAAGTATATGTAAACCCTCACATTGTAAAACAACCCATTCAGTTTAAAATAGAAACGAAAGGCAAAAATGTATGTAACTCTTTCAAAAAAAATTATAAACACCTTTTTTTACCCCCTCGTTTTTTATAAGTGATCACATTCCCCACATTCTCAGCTGCCTAAGGAGCTCAGGGAGGAGAAACATCAGCACACTGATCATCCCAGTGAATGATGTGCAGGGTGGCATGTCAGCATACTGTAAGTCTGATCATTAGAGGAGAGCAGGCTGAGTTGCCAGCACAGCTAGAGAACTGACCCTCCATTTTTTTTCATTGGAAAGCAGAGGGACTGGCAGCATCACCAGGGATTTCACACAAAGGAAGCAATACAAAAAGAACAGGATTCTTTTTCCTAGAAGTACATGGTACAGCAGGTACATATCAGGAATATGTTGAGTTTATATATTCTTTAACCCCTCATCATAATTAATGGTAGTAAAACACGTCATACTGTAGTAAGGAGAGTTGACATCATTTTAAGGAATTTTTGTTTCAGTTCACTGATATGGTGCAGAGCGTGCAGAAGATGAAATATAGAAAATATTGTAGATTTCCTGTAACTACTTTGGGGTTATCCTTTTACTGTTTTTCATTGGAATAACTTTTATGAGAACTTTTACGTTTGTGTATTTCTGTAGATCTTTTAACAACACTAAGAATCTCTGTTCCCAGAGAAGGCATTCAAACAATGTAAAGTAGCTTAGGAAAACCTACATCATGCCTTAGAATCACAGTAATATGGAAGATGTAAGGATTAAGACAGAATGGAAATTGTCAAATCCAAACAAGACAATGTCCATCATACAAAGTATATGAACAAAAAAATATTTTTATGGTGGTACATCTAATTTAGTACTGGAAAGAAAGACGTCTTGTATAAGTAAGGGTCTAAAATGATTGTTCAAAATTCTATCTAGAGGATTTCTAGTAAATGTTCCACCTAGTAGTTTTTAGAAACCACCTGGCTGCTGTAGCAGCTCTGCACCAGCAAGACAAATGGTTGCAGAGCCCACTAGGTAAATTTATTTTTGGCTTATGGTAGTGAGTGAACCTCAATTTCTGTAGGTTCAGTGTGAAGTCAGGCTAGGTGATTCAGCAGGTTGGGACTCTGTCATCTCCACCTGGTTCTGGAGGTCCATGGAAGCTTCCAGAATCCAGTGGGCGGAAGGGTGGAGAACTCAATCTGTAGATTCATGGGAGTCTGACCAATCCAAGGATAAGAGGCCCTGGTAGTGTGGTAGACTAGCCCATAAATGTGAGAAAGCCATGCTATCAGGGGAGTCGGGTGGAAGATGGAGTGCTGAGAGGTGTTGCAGTGTAGCCTGGGAGGGAGCCCCAGAGGAGGGGGTTCGGCATCCAGGATGGAGGCTGGAAGCTAAAGAGAAGATGAAGGAGGGAGCTCCGCTGCCCTGCAGTCTGCTGAGGAAGGACAGCCTGCAGAGCTTGGAGAGGAACTAGCCCAGCTGGAAGGCCCTATAAGGAGTTCTATCCACAGCTACAGGACAAGGACAGTGTGAGTACCTCTATACTCCCAGGGCCTAGAAGGGAGAAGTCTGCTTGATGCAAGTTCTGGCAAGTCTTCAGGGGACAGTTCAAAACTTACCCGATCCCTTGTCCTGGGATCAGATACTGCAACTAGGTGTGCTGGTATTCTGTCCACTAAGTTGACAAAGAGCTTCTACATGTTGTCATGTTGCTAAAAATTCACTCAGGGGACATAAGCTCCTAGACAGGGATTATTCTACTAAGGAGTGTGATGTTGTCAATTGGAACTCAGTCAAGTGTTTGTCATTTTTTTTCAATATGCTATAGCAGGAAACATCCACATTCTGCTGTTTCTTCAATACAGTTGGAGAATCCCATAACCCCTTTACCCCATCTAAGTTGTTAACCCCTAATAAAACAACAAAAACCAAGCTCATGGGCTTCTTACTGACTGTGGATGAAAGTGTGGACAATGCATGCTGCCTGGCTGAGCAGAGCCTAAGGTGGATCCAAGAACTCAGCGGCCCTCAAGAGAGTAGCGCTACAGGTCACTTACTCATGGCAAAGCAGACACTGGAGTGTTTGGCAGCATGGTTGATTCTGGTGGAAGTGGTTGTCTGCTATAATACTGCTCATATATAGCCATATAGAATAAAACATTTAAATTGTTGGCAGTAGTTTGCTTTGATCTGTTCAGTAGTTTTTAGAATAATGCGATGGTTGAGTGTTTGGCCAGCATGAATGTGCAAGTGCCGCTGATGTACATCAGAAGGTTGGGGCCTTGCATCCTGCTTATGGAGAGCAAGCCAGGCTATTATTCATTTATATATTTTCCTGGCTGCCAAAATATCTGGGGCGAACTCCATGATTATGTTCTGATTAAGTTCTGCTTTGATTTCCTGTAGCTATAGTAAGAACATCCTTTCTTGGTAATTTAACCAACTATATTAATAAGGTTGCATTTTTGTGGGAGGTGTGGAGGTGTAAGACATGCCTTTTCTGGTACTCCTTAGGAAGAATATAGTACACATTCAACATATAGCTTATACCTTGATAGAAAGAGATGATACTGTTTATTTACTAAAGGCAAATAAGACTGTGCACTTTGTAAGTGCAGTTGCACTTACCGTATTTTTCCCTGAGCTTAGTGAATGTGGTGAAGCTGTTATGATTTCCATCATTCAATCATGTGCAAGCGAAAATGCTTTTTCTTTTTTTATTTTCCTTGCACCTGATTGGTCATTCTTTGCATCACGAAATTCCCTAAGCTCTGGGGAAAATGAGTGCAACTGCACTTGCAAAGTGCACAGTCTGTTTGCCTTTAGCAAATCAACACCAGTGTATTCTCTTCTCCCAAAAGACGGCTAATGCTGAGGACTTTCTGCACATCTGTTTAACAGGGAAGTAAAATAATTTGCCATTAGTAAGTTTCCCACTAGTATGGATTAAAGAGGACCTGACCTGTGGAAAATGTGCCTAGAAAAAGCAAAGAACTAGTTATAAATATTGGTGGTAGTTTTCCCCCTCTGTTTTTTCCTCATTACTGACTTATGCCTTTTATCAGCCGACAGCTAGCTAACAAAACTGACAGAAGCAGTGTTGTGTTTCATTCCAAAACTGAATTTATTTCTGTGAATAGTCCTGTATAACTGCAATACAATCACATAAACTGAAATTATACTATGATTGTAAACATGTCTCTCACAAATGCTTACAATTAACACAGCTACCTACAAATCACACAGAATACATTGAAATGTGATGTAGCTATGTATGTGACTTTAACAAACACAATGAAAGAACTTACAGGCTTGTGTGGAGAAATGGAGGGAGGGAGAATGGAGGAGACCTTCTGTGGTGTTCTTCTAGAAGCTGAAACTGCAGCAATGGATGAGAAATCTTTATTCTTAACCAGGGGCGGACTGACAACTCATGGGGCCCCCGGGCAATAGGGGATCATGGGGCCCCTGTGTCCTTGGCCAAACTCAAAGCCTATGAAAAAGGTACCAGGGGCATCTCACGGGGCCCCCTACTGACCCTGGGCCCTCGGGCAGTGCCCGAGTATCCAAATGGTCAGTCCGCCCCTGTTCTTAACAAACATGAAACACTGCTTGTTCTTGTAGAAGGAATAATACAAATCAGGATCAGTTTTCAGTGAACACCCGATTGATGGCTCCTGTACTTGTCAGACTGCAGGTATATAGCCAAGTGTCTAGGCAGAGGAAGTCATTCAAGATCAATGTACATTTTGCAGGGTGCTACTTAAGTTATTTCCACTTTGAAGTACAGGAGTTATTTTCAGTCATTTCAGTCATACACAGGAGAGGAGAATGGCTAAGACCCCATTCACACTTGCAAATTGGTCCATTAGCATATACATGTGGTAGACCCAGCAGAGGTTCCTAGGGAATAGCTGTGGGTAGAAGCCTCCTTGAAAGCAATGGGAGGCTGACAGCTTCTGCAAGGTCAATGGCCTATCATTTGCAGGTAATTGCTCTATGAGTAATTACATTGTGAGTGGCTGCAACTAGTTATGGTACCTGTCAGCCTCCCATTTATTGCAATGGGGCTTCTGCCTACAGCTAATCCATGCTGGGTCTCCTGCATTTTATCTCTAATGGCCCCAAGTGTGAATGGGCCACAGTAGTTAACACAAATCCTGTGCAGCACTATGGTCAATGGTTTGAATCCCAACCAGGACGCTACCTGCATGGAGTTTGTATGTTCTTCCTCTGCTTGCATGGGTTTCCTCCAGCTACTCTGGTTTCCTTCCAAAATCCAAAGACATGCTAGCAGGTAAATCATACCTCTCAACTGTTCCTAATTTGGAAGGACATCGCTTTTTTGGAACCAAAGCCTTGTGTCCCTCTTGTCTTATTAGTTGTCCCTCTTTTTGGTTGATTTATAAAAAGAAGAACCCCCCAATAGGATGTTAATGGCACCAATACATAAGTTAAAATGTTCACATCGATCTTTATTTTGTATCATAATAAAATGTCATACGTTTAAAAATGGCTACTGAGAAGGTTGTTATGTTACATCACCACCTTATCATATTGACAGACTAAAGAGTTTGTTATACAAATCCAGCACAAGTAAATCAACTCCTTCCTCAGGGAGAAAAATCTGCAGAAAAATAGCAACATCTAAGAAATCAAAGAATACATTTATTTAAAACATGTATAATCTACTTGAAACATATCCATATACTTTATCTGTATACATATGAGTGCCAGTTACTCACACGATTAATGAATCAACTCAGAATGACTGTCAACCATAACATAAAACCAAAATAGATTGCTACCACTCCCTGGTGTGCACTTCGATGGTTACAAGTCACTCGCCATTTTTAAATGTTCGACTTTTTATTGTGATACAAAATAAAGATCGATGTGAATATTTTAACTTATGCATTGCTGCCATTAAAGTCCCATTGGGGGGTTCTTCTTTTTTCAAGTGTAACGTTTAGGGATGTAGGCCCATATCAGGTAATACCTGATCATTCTTTTTTTGGTCTGATGTACAGGTATCTATGAAAATGTACTTTTCAGCTGCCAAATATGTTATTCTTCACTAAAAGTTTCATCCTATGTCTGAAGTATCCTGCTTACTATTTTGAAAAGCCACTATAAAAGAAAAGTAGTGGTAGAAAAAATGAATTCTGGGTTTAACCAATAACTGCTGGCATGTAAATTCTTAATGGTCTACATAACTGGGAGTGCGGCACGGATATGAATTTTGCCGAGGGATATGTATTTGTGCTAGAGGGTGTCCCTTTTTCTGATTTCCGAAAATTGGGAGGTATTGGTAAATTGGTCCTAGTCTGTGTATGTATTCATGTGAGGTAGGAACGTTAAAGTGGTATTAAATCCAAAACAAAAAATGTAATATATTGCGATTTATCAATCTTTAGGTCTGTTGCACATGGGAGTAAAAATGCTGAGTTTTTTTTTTTACAGATCTGAAATGAGATGTATTGTTGTCTATGGGACATTGCACACAGCTGAGTAAAGATCAGTAATACAGCCTTGATTACAGAGCAGTAAAACAAAAGAAATAGAATAAAATAGAAAATGTTTCCTTTGAGTGCACCTTGCACACGGGTGCAATAAGTATAAATGAGAATATTACAATACTGGCAATGAAGAAGAATTGTACTTGTCTATACGTTTTACACACATTTGCTCGCCAATACCCAACATTTTTTAGGTCTGTACACACAGTTTTTGTCCCCTTGCACACGTGCGTCACAAGTTCCTTAGTAAACAGCAGTAAATTGTGATGCCCGTATGCAAGGTGCATGTGGTAGCTGCATTAGTTTTCTCTTTTTGGTCATTTTTGGCCAGTAACATACCTCCTGTATTAGGGTGCCCCCATCTGGATGAAGGAGCACAGGGGGCACTTTTAGAAAGCAGCACTGTCAGTCTGGGGTGAGGGGAGTGTTAGATGTACTAGCAGATTTAGATACACTAGCCAAACTCCAGCCCACACTTTATAAGCAGTTACAGCTACTACATTTACAGTTTTCTTCTTTTGAGATAAAGAGTTTACATAAATAAAAGCTGATAAAATAAATTAAAACATAAACACACCTGACACATCTGCAGGGGAGAGTGTTCCTTAGAAAAACACCAGACTTCTTGTCTGGATCACCAGATGAAACTAAAAGAAAGAAAACCTAAAAAAGAAAACAAATGCAGTCATCTCATGTAAGAATTGGTAAGCTCTAATATAACAAACATTTGCTTTTGGGCTTAATACTGCTTTAGGATCTTTAAAGTCTGGGACTGATGTGAATGTTCAATATTTAAAGTGCTGCTAAAAATTGTTGGTGCTAAACTGTACTGTCAATAAAAGTACCTGAAACCTGAAGCCTTATTGTATGTATGCTTTTAGTTGTAAGAAAGTTGTAGCATTGTAGCATTAACAAATCTACTTACAACATGCTTTTCTTCCTCTTAGATTCCCGTTGCGTTTTTAATGAGTTTTCTGGATTCCCTGGAGAGTGGCTATGGAAAGTATAAGAATCCTTACCATAACCAGATCCATGCAGCAGACGTGACACAGACAGTTCACTGCTTCCTTTTACGTACAGGCATGGTGGTAAGCATGTCATTGCAAACTTCTCATGAATTTCATTATGGCCTTGATGTAGTACTTCTTTAATAATGTTTTGATTTGATCCTTACATATCACACGTCTCAGAAATATTAGGAATATAATAGGAGTTTTGCCTATGATGCTTCTAAATATTATGTTTTTTCTGCTTCGCTTTTGAAAAAAGCAATCCTGATAAATAATTCTAAACTGCCTTTTATTATGGCTTTATGACCTTCCAAATTAAAAGATAAAAGTGATTCTAAACACACACTGTTTAATTAAAGATGTCCCTTCTATTTTTGTATGTGGATGATGGCACTGTAATTATTTTAGTAAAGAAAAAACATCTAAGTACCTTCTTCCTAATTGATATACAGCTGTCACCTGATCCAGTTCTTTCCCAGCTTGTCTACAGGGAAAGATAAGCAGAAGGAACTTCGAATCCTCTGCTGCTGGTCACATGTTAAAAAAAACAGCCTTTGGAACACAGAGTAAACATAAATAAAAAATATAAATAATATCAATACACTGTTTTAAATTGGCATGCAAATATATTTGCAATCAAATCTTTATTAGTGGAAATAACATGGTGTGGGCAGATTTCTGCCAGTCACAGTCTGTGTCACGCCGCTCCCGTCTGTGTCTTAGAAAAAGAGGGAGGTGAAGCCTCCATTAGTCTACATGTATTATCCCACCCCTTGTGTTTAGCTGGTTAGTGGGCATGGAAAAGGAGGGAGAGAGTAGGCTGTCATTTACCACCATGTATATGCCCACATGTGTGACTTTATAGTCATGTGGGCTGCTCAGATGTGATAGGGAGGAAATGCTCAGCATAGAAACACACTGAAAACTGAGCATGTGCAGAGCTGCCACTAAAGTTGTAAAATCCTTTGCTGAAGTTGGAGCATGAACAGAAGGCAGAGGTAGAGAAGAGCAGGATCAACCAGATTTTTGCAGAAAACGAATCTCATAGTGACTGCGCGAGTATGTACAGCATGTAATACAGCATTTATTGATAGTTTTTATTATGTGTTTTAGTGACACTTTAACTATAATTTGTAAATATTCTGACTCCAATTGTTGTAATAGTGACTATCCCTGTTTTCACCCAGGCATTTATTATACTACAGTATGTCAGGTCACCTCATCTTTAACCATTTGACGCCTGTCCAATAGCCGTTTGGCGTCCGGAAAAATGCACTAGCTTTTCGGTAGGCCGCCATATGGCGTACTCCCGCACATGCGCAGTTCGCGTGCTTGCAAAGCCATCATTCATGATGCCATCCATTGTATACTAGTGCCTAGCTGTGAATGGTCACAGCTAATCACATGCACATGTCATGTGATTAGCTGTGGCCAAATCACAGCTAAGCACAAAAAAAAAAAAACCCCTGAATGAATCGATGTCATTCAGGTAAATGCTTGCTTATAGCAAAGTAATTCTTTGCTATAAACAAATTGTGTAAAAAAAAAAAATAAAAAATTCTGATCACTTCCCCAAAGTAGTGCAATGTTACTATGGTAACATTGTACTACTTTGGACATAGTGAAATATGAAAAAAAATCTTAAAAAAAAAAAAATGTAATAAAAAATTTTAAATAATAAAGAAATAAAAAAAAAAAACATTTTTTTTGCACACTGTCACCAGTCAGCGTCCCTGATCACCGCTATGCCAGTTATATGATGATGCTGTACTGCACTGGTGACAGTATGTAAAAAAAAAAATAGTGAAAATAAATTTTTTTATTTTTTCATTTTCCGAAAAATTATGACAAAAAAAAAATACAACTTCAAAAAACTCGCCATGCCTCTTATGAAGTACGTTGGACTGTCTACTTTGCAAAAAGGGGTAATTTGGGGGATATCTGTACTATTCTGACATTCTCGGACCTCAAGAAATTAGATTGGGTGTCAGTACTTCAGGATTGATCAATATTCAGATCTATACCATAGTTTGTGAACTCTATAACTTTCCTGCAAACTAAAAAATACATCCTAATTTGGGTTATTTTCACCAAAGACATGTAGTAGAACACATCTTGGCATCTTGGCCTAAATTTATGAAGAACAATTATTTATTTGCAAACTTTCATAACAGAAACAAAGAAAAACGTGTTTCGGTCTTTTTTTGTTAATTTAGCAAAAAATAAAAACCCCAGCGGTGATTAAATACCACCAAAAGAAAGCTCTAGTTGTGTGAAGAAAATTATAAAATTTTAGTTTGGGTACAATGTTGTATGACCGCGCAATTGTCATTCAAAGTGTGTGAGAGCGCTGAAACCTGAAAAATGGCCTGGGCAGGAAAGGGGTAAAATGCCCGGTATTGAATTGGTTAAAAAGCCCCCTAAGCAAACCTGTTTGCCTATGCAGATAGATACACTACAGGCTACCCAAGAAATTATTCTTGCCTTTGAACTTCCTTCACTGCAGACCTCCGGAAATAAGGCATGCAGGCATATGTAATTCCTAAAAAGAAATAGTTTACAGCAGAAGAACATGTGATAAGAGGATGTAGTCCTACCCAGATGCCACATCCAGATGCTCTGGATGCATTTAGATTAAGGTAAATGTTGTATTTGTATTCAGCCCCACTGAGTCAATACTTTGTAGAACCAACTTTCACTGCATTTACAGTTGCATGTCTTTTTGGGTATGTCTCTACCAGCTTTGCACATCTAGAGAGTGAAATGTTTGCCCATTCTTCTTTGCAAAATAGCTCAAACTCTGTCAGATTGGATAGAGAGTGTCTGTAAACAGCAATTTTCAAGTCTTGCTACAGATTCTCAATTGGATTTAGGTCTGGACTTTGACTGGGCCATTCTAACCCATGAATATGCTTTGATTTAAGCCACTCCATTGTAGCTCTAGCTGTTTGTTTAACCGTTTCAATACCGGGCAATTTTACACCTTCCTGCCCAGGCCATTTTTCAGGTTTCAGCGCTCTCACACTTTGAATGACAATTGCGCGGTCATACAACATTGTACCCAAACTAAAATTTTATCATTTTCTTCACACAACTAGAGCTTTCTTTTGGTGGTATTTAATCACCGCTGGGGTTTTTATTTTTTGCTAAATTAACAAAAAAAGACCAAAAATTTTGAAAAAAAAACACATTTTTCTTTGTTTCTGTTATAAAAGTTTACAAATAAATAATTGTTCTTCATAAATTTAGACCGAAATGTATTCTGCTACATGTCTTTGGTGAAAATAACCCAAATTAGGATGTATTTTTTAGTTTGTAGGAAAGTTATAGAGTTCACAAACTATGGTATAGATCTGAATATTGATCAATCCTGAAGTACTGACAGCCAATCTAATTTCTTGAGGTCCAAGAATGTCAGAATAGTACAGATATCCCCAAATGACCCCTTTTTGCAGAGTAGACAGTCCGACGTACTTCATAAGAGGCATGGCGAGTTTTTTGAAGTTGTATTTTTTTGTCATAATTTTTCGGAAAATGAAAAAATTAAAAAAATTATTTTCACTATTTTTTTTTTTACATACTGTCACCAGTGCAGTACAGCGTCATTATATAACTGGCATGGCGGTGAACAGGGACACTGACTGGTGACAGTATGAAAAATATATATATATATATATTTTTTTTTTTTTTTTAATTTTTTTTTTTTTTTATTATTATATTTAATTTTTTATTACATTTTTTTTAAATTTTTTTTAAGATTTTTTTTTCATATTTTACTATGACCAAAGTAGTACAATGTTACCATAGTAACATTGTACTACTTTGGGGAAGTGATCAGTATTTTTTTTTTTTTTTTTTTTTTTACACAATTTGCTTATTGCAAAGAATTACTTTGCTATAAGCAAGCATTTACCTGAATGAAATCGATTCATTCAGCTTTTTTTTTTTTTTTTTGTGCTTAGCTGTGATTTGGTCACAGCTAATCACATGACATGTGCATGTGATTAGCTGTGACCATTCACAGCTAGGCACTAGTATACAATGGATGGCATCATGAATGAAGCCATCCATTGTATACAACTGTCATGTGACCTGCTGTGATTGGTCACAGCAGGTCACATGGTACCAGCAACGGGAGCCGGTACTCGGATCTGTCATCGGCCGTGTCCGAGGTACACGGCCGGTGACAGATTGCACTGCTGCGCCGCTCTGCATTAGCGCAAACTGCGCATGTGCGGGAGCACGCCAAATGGCGTGCACCCGGAGTGCAGAGACAGTTTTGAAGCCGCCAAGCGGCCATTGGCCAGGCGGCTAATGGTTAAGGTCATTGTCCTGCTGGAAGGTGAACCTCTGCCCCAGTCTCAAATCTTTTGCAGACTCTAACAGGTTTTCTTCTAAGATTGCCCTATATTTGGCTCCATCCATCTTCCCATCAACTCTGACCAGCTTCCCTGTCCCTGCTAAAGAAAAGCATCCCCACAACATGATGCTGCCACCAACATGCTTCACAGTTCGGATGATTTGTTCAGTGTGATGTGCAGTGTTAGTTTTCCGCCACACATAGCATTTTGCTTTTAGGCCAAAAATTGTGGTCTCATCTGACAACAGCACCTTCTTCCACATGTTTGCTGCCCCCCCCCCCACACACACACACATGGCTTCTCACAAACCAAACTGCAAACGGGACTTCTAGTGGCTTTCTTTCAACAATGGCTTTCTTCTTGCCACTCTTCCATAGGCCAGATTTGTGGAGTGCACATCTAATAGGACAGATTCTCCCATCTCAGCTGTGGATCTCTGCAGCTCCTTCAGAGTTACCATGGGCCTCTTGGCTGCTTCTCTGATTAATGCTCTCCTTACCCGGCCTTCTAGTTTAGGTGGACGGCCATGTCTTGGTAGGTTTGCAGTTGTGCCATACTCTTTCCATTTTCGGATTATGGATTGAACAGTGCTCCAAGAGATGTTCAAAGCTTGGGCAATTTTTTATAACCTAACCCTGCTTTAAACTTCTCCACAACTTTATCCCTGACCTGTCTGGTGTGTTCCGTGGCCTTCGTGATGCTGTTTGTAGGGGTATC